AGCTTAAATGCATCCGTTTCTCAGACTTTTATGTCGCTGGGGTATATTTGTAGCAATAGCCAAAAATACATTGTATGGGTCAAAATTAAAGATTTTTCTTTTATGCCAAAAATCATTAGGATATTAAGTAAACAATATAAAGATATTTTGTGGGGCTATATATATATATAAACAGGGTCACTATTGATTTCATGCTGACTAAAAGCAGAATAAGGCGGTGAACATTACAGCATAAAAACAGCATACAGTGCATGTGGAGCTGCATGTAAAACAGGGTGGTGAAGGACAGTGGCTTGATTATTTACAGACAGACAGACCTTGAGAAAGATGCTCCGATTTAACGGAGAGAAAGAAAAAAGCTAATCAGCAAGATTATGTGGATGCAATTACAACATCAAAGCCACAGGGCTCCTTAAAAACCAGCAGAAAGCAGTCTTTACGGGCATATCAGGGTAACTGTATGCAAATACATCCCTGATGGAGTCATGCGGTTATCTGTCCCGAGAAACATTAGACAAAGGAAAGCAGAATGAGCTTAAATGCATCCGTTTCTCAGACTTTTATTAGACCGGTAATGCAACATCTCCAGGGACTGTGATACAAACGCAATTGTGTTTTTTACTGCTGTTATTGTGTTATTATTTTAGAGTTTGGGGCTGAACAAAGCCGATGATAAGATCCACAAATCTAGCCCTGACGAAAAGGGACACATCCTGAAAGGATTAAATGATAAAAAAGAGCAAAAGATTGTACTGCAAGGCAGCGTGTGCCGTCTTTTAATTTCCTTGAGGAGAAAAACTTGTAATGATGTTGCTGAAAATACCTCTCTCGGGCTCAAAGCGCCATCGCTGTGTGAAGTTCAGAGGAATTATGAAGCAATGAAAGATGAAAATGATGGTTTTGCTCTCCTCGTTCTTTTAATGCTTCAGTTTATAAATGGTTCAGAATGTTTTACACACAACAAAAGACAGAGTAGGCCGAGTACTGAATGTTCGTTTTAAACACGACTTCAACAAAGACAACAAATCAAAATGTTCATATCAAAGGTCATTTGAGTCTTTTTCAGATGCATGTCTGCTGTGGTTTCACAATTTAGCCTTCCACAAAAAAATGACTGAATCTTGTTTCCAAACTATTTTAATTTCAAACGTGCACTGATCTGGACAAAGTCAACATGAAACACATTCACAACTCATTTGAATTCAAATTCAGCCTTTTTCAAACCTATGTTTATATATATTGTTTCTGCATTCTTTATTAAGTTAAGCAGTATTGTTTTTATTGGAATAAAGCACACAATAAAACCAGCAACGTACTACCTAGAAAATGGGATGACTGTAAGATATTACAGTGCTGGTTAAGCACGTAGGAACTGAAAATGTAAGATTAGTGTAAATGCATTTTCATTTTTCAATATGCATACACATCGTTATTATCAGCACTTGAAATCCCACATATAGAAGCATATATTAAATTAATTTCAATTATATTTAATACATTAACTTAAACATTACAGACCACACTGTAAGCATCATCTAATTTACACACATTTTGATACAAAAATGTTAATGCATTGACTTTATTGTATCAAATTAAATAAAAAACAATATAATGACATTATGTGGGGCTGCATGACAAAATTAATCAAAAATTCTATTGGATATAAATGTCTAATAGGATGAGAAATGGATATATTTTACATGTGGGAATACATACTGTAGGCTAAACATAATGACGTCGTCATTTATGTGGGACAATGGAATTTTAGTTTCTTCAGTAAATTCTTCTTCCTGTCTTTTTAATTCAAATCCCAATCCAACATCTTGTGTTTCAGGCGTCAAATAAGTGCAGGTGTGTTGTACTTACACTTGAAAACAGCCACCTGGCTCCAGTTCTCCATGTTTTATTTTGCTGACGGTGAGAATTTCCTCAGTCTTGAAAAAAAAAATCGTTCTAAAGCTATACTTTTTAAAATTTGTATTTCATGCTTTTCTCATGTAACACAATAATGGCTTTAAATGATCTTTTGTGGGTAATTTTTCAGCCAATGTGATTAATATTTGATTAATTAATCGGGACATTGTATAATGAATTGAATTAAACATTTTAATCGATTGACAGTCCAGTCCTAATACACACACACAGTATATATATATATATATATATATATATATATTCATTCTAATATGCTGATTTATTATTTGAATTATCAATGTTGGCAACAGTTGTACTGCCAAATATATATATATATATAAAGACATTTTGTGGGGCTATATGACAAAAATCAACAAATCTTTAATCTAAAATTTTATTAGAGATATATGTCTAATCGGATGAGAAATAGATATGCCCTGTATTATTTTAAATGAGGGAATAAATAAACATAAAGACGTCATTTATGTTTTATGTTGGACAATGGAATTTTAGTGTCTTCAGTAAATTCTGCTTCATGTCTTTTCAAATCCCAATCCAATATTTTGTGTCTCAGGTGTTAAAAAAGTGCAGATGTTCGGTACTTGCACTTGAAAACACCTGGCTCCAGTTCTCTATTTTTTTTATTTTGCTGACGATGAGAATCTCCCCAAGACATTTTGTGGGGCTATATGACAAAAATCCAAAAATCTTTAATCTAAAATTTTATTAGAGATATATGTCTAATCGGATGAGAAATAGATATGCCCTGTATTATTTTAAATGAGGGAATAAATAAACATAAAGACGTCATTTATGTTTTATGTTGGACAATGGAATTTTAGTGTCTTCAGTAAATTCTGCTTCATGTCTTTTCAAATCCCAATCCAATATTTTGTGTCTCAGGTGTTAAAAAAGTGCAGATGTTCGGTACTTGCACTTGAAAACACCTGGCTCCAGTTCTCTATTTTTTTTATTTTGCTGACGATGAGAATCTCCCCAGAGTCTTGTGAAAAAAGCCCATTTGGATTACATTCACCTGCTTTTTCTGAATACTGCATTTAGATGTCCTACTTTTAAAAAAAATATTGCTTTTTGCATACTAGTAGTCAGTGTTGGGGTAACGCATTACAAGTAACGCGAGTTACGTAATCAGATTACTTTTTCAAGTAACTAGTAAAGTAACGCATTACTTTTTAATTTACAAGAGAATATCTGAGTTACTTTTTCAGATAAGTAACGCAAGTTACTTTTGTTTCCAATTTATTGATTGACAGCTCTGGTGTTGCCATGGTGACAGAAATCAGATGTTACTGTAGTTCCAAAATAAATATGAATATGCATTAATGAATTATTGCTGAAGTGTGTTGAAATGTCTTCTTCTGCATTCTACTGTACTTTCCCTTCAGCCTGAGGTTTATTCATTTCACTTTTGGTGTGAAGAGGCTTTTATATTTGCCAAAAATATTCCTTTTGCTAACATGAACTAACAATGAAAAATAAAGCATTTAAGTAAGCATTTATTAAGCTTATTTAATGTTTTTATAATATATTTTAATTTTACATTATATTAATACAACTTTTCACAGCATTAAAGTAAATCATGTGGGCCTGTTTTATTATAATTTTTCTTATTGTTTTTAGGGCTGTCACTAATGACATTTTTATTTCGATTTTTTAATTTTTATTTCAATTCATCTATCGACTAATTTAGCGATTAATCTTAACGATTAATTTCCTACAAAATATTCAACAATTTTAGATTTTATTAAACTATATTTTACTAAACCAAATGAAATCCAAATTTCTATGAAATCCTTTTTTTAAAGCAAATGTAAAGTGCAACATAGAGTGCAAGAAGCAAGTGTCCATCTCATAGTAGGGGTGTGCGATATATATCGTCTGCGATAATATCGTAATTGTTGTTTTAACGATGTGCGATTTGACATTATCGAGTATTTTGCAAAAACCATTCAAAACATCCCTACAGAGCGCACGCATATATTACGTGAAGTCTAGACTAGTGCGTGTGCGCATTTAGTGTGTTTTCTTTCACTGCATGATTCAGTCTATTAAAATGCATTTAGAATTATCACAAATTCAAGACATGAAAATGTATATACTTATACCACTTCATATAGTTATTCAATTTCACACGAAGAGTGCCGTTTTTCTCCAAAAATTACCATGATTTAAAATGTGACATTGAATTCAATAAACAATAAGTTAATTAAGAGACTTACGTTTTAGACACCATATTGCTTGTTTTTGCTCTATTTCGCCAACAACAATCATTCCGAATACAGCCACAGCGCTGTTTTGTGTCTCTGAGCAACATGACGGTGTTTCGTTCTTGAATAAATCACTCGTTTAAATGATTCGGTTCAATCGCAATGACTCAATTATTAACAGTGATTTGCTGCCACCTACTGGCGGTTTTAATTTTAAATTTCTGCTTTTTCTTTCTTTTCTTTTTCTTTTTTTCATGTTTTAAATAATTTCAAATATCAGTATTC